TTCGCGAGGATAGTAACAGACAAGAACCATGTAGGAGACGAACCAAGGTACGCCTATTATATTCAAGTCTCTGTCTTTGTGTTGACTAAAAACGTTTCGGGTATGTTTCCAAACTTTCGCTTTGATTACACTCTTTTTATAAGAAGCAGGAAATTTGAGTTCAGGCTGACCGTTTTTAATATTTCGAAAATCTGAGGCTTGATTGCTTTCAATTTGTTCGTAAATTTATAGGGTATAAGCAGTGCGATTGCTAGTATTTCGCTCTAAGAAAGTGTTCAGACCTCATTTGTCAACAAAGTGAGCGAGAAAACCTTAATTTGCCGACAAGTTTGAATATATACCGAAAAAGCAGCCTCACATGGCTAAAAATCCTCGTTTTTGAAATAAATAGTTGTTCAAAATTGCTTTTTACAGTAGCTCAGCGACAGCTTGTTCTTGTTTATATTTGTTAGAACAGGCCTCTACCCTCTTTCTAATTGACCATTTGATAGAAATCATCCCGTTTCCCTTTTAGGTACCAAGAAAATTTGAATAGTTCTGTACTCTTTTTGTATTCCTCATGGTTGATGGATATAAAGTGGTTGAAGTAACGCTGTTTAAAAGTATGTCCAGTTAGACCTATGTAAGATTCACGCACATTGCTTCCTGTGTTGTATGCCTGCCTGGATATTATGCTGTAAGTTTGGCATAAATGTTTTTGCATTTACCTTGATGGTGATGTATTTGTAATTTTTAGGAGAATTTATATGCAAAGAAATAAATAGGCCAAAATCGTATTAGCAGCTGTTTCTAGATAAGTTCATCATCGCTGTGAGATTTCCGTTATTATAATGCAAATAAAGTTTTTGTGAGATGCAATGCAATCATGCTGTAGCCACTTTGTTAAACTTTCTGCTCGGTCAATATTTTCTTTAATTCTATTTTCTTTCAATAGCAGCCTCACATCATCTAGAATGCTCTTATATGAAAATGATTTATTGTTGTCTTGCTGCACTTAATATATTCAGGCTAACTAGAAGCTGTGGTGGATGGAGCGATAGATGGCTGGCAGCTGCGATGGGTTGTCAAATGCGCTTGGGTTTATGGCCCAAAATAAATGGACCTGCAATGCTTGGTATTCGTTGGCCTGAATTTAGGGCTTTGAGCAGTGAAAATTTTTGATTTTAGATTATTTGGTGTAATAATTTGTATAGATAAGTTTTATTAAATGTCGAAAGCTTGTTGGAAACAGCTATATCGTAGATTAAAAGTCCATTTTAGATGAACAGCAATATTGATGACACTTAACCTGAAGAATCTTCCTGAGTAAAGAACGAACCAAATTACTAGTATTAGTGAATATGAATGTCAAGCTCTCTCTGTAAACATAGATTTGCAATTTTGCAACTTTGACGACATTTTGGATATCTTATTAACTTTAATCTTTCCCTGGGGGAGATTTCTATATTAATCTTTTTTTTGTTTATATGCATTCGCCAGTACACGAAGCGAAAAAATCGCAATGAAAAGATAGTGCAATAAATGCATGCGGCAAGGGTAGCCTTGAGTGTGAGTGCCAGGGCAAGCCCTTTGCCTCCTATCAGGCCCTTAACCCGGCCCCTTAAGAAATATACCTAGCAAATGATAAAAGGGATTTTTTTTATCTGTCAAATATTGAGTAAGGTGTAGCAAGATCAAATTTCTGAAATCATTTGAAAATATTTTAGCAGTCTTCTGAAAACAGAATACATTTTGTTGGAGTATTGCATTACATGTTTAACCAAATTAGACAAGGCTGAATATTTGAAGTACTAAAGTTTTCACATATTTTGAAATGATTCTCGAAATGACTGAAAACCTTGTTTTGATAAAAATAGTTGCAATAAGATACATAAAATCTCGAGGGTGGGGGGGGGGAGGGTACCTTAACATGTTTGAAGGTACGCGGACGTGCCAATTATTCAGGGGTACCTTTTTTCTGAAAAGTGCGGAATTTTCGGTGACAGTTTTTGAAATTTGTGTGGAACTATGGGTACCATTTGAAGAAACATGGAGAATTATGGGTCAAATTTTGGGGAAATATTGCAAAATTATTTGGAGGTAGATTTGGCATTAACAAAATGAATTACCAGTTAGAAATAAAAGTATGAAATATGTGTAATATTAAGATTTTGGGGCATAGGACATGCAAAATTCGGTTGATAATTCTTGATCTGCTTTAAAAGTTCTATTTGCTCTGCAAAATTATGGGTATAGTTTTCATTATGTTTGCGGAATTAGGGGCAACATTTTTTCAGACATTTGCGGAAGTATGGTACGTCCTCGTCCAAAATTAGGCATAGTTTACCCCCCGAGCACAAAATACATTTAGAAATTGTTATGAAACATTATCGTACTCAAAGCAAACAGTTCAGGAACAATTGAATCTCAAAAAGGTGCAGCCATCTGAAATTTCGGAAATTTCCATTGAAAGACCAAGACCTTTTCCCAGCATCAACATTTACAAAAGAGTTCAAAAGTTCGTAAGAAACACCGAGTAATGTGGTTGGCTGCATTTCCTAGAAGATGGAAATTTCGAAGACGTAGTTTTTTGTAACTAATTGTGTCTGCTTATTTTGCAACAATTGGCGATGTTATGCAAATTTCATACCTATATTTATACTGGAACACCAAATTTTGCTTCCAGTTCCTTATAAATCTGTGGTGTACTCTATCAAGAAATATGACTCATGAAAGTTTAGGAGTCTTTGTAAGCCATTTTTACCAATTCAAGCAATTTGATCATACAATTCCAATTTCATCGGGAAGGGCATCCTTTTTCACTGTTATCACAATTACACAAAATGTAATTTTTGTCTAGATTCTTGACTACTTCATGTCAAAATGTTTTTATCACTTAATCAAAGAAAAGTTATTCCGCTCAATGAATGGTTATATGTTAATAAACATCAAAACCATTTTATAGTTACAATTGATCATACGATACCCTCATACAACGCACAAAAGTATTACATACATTACATACTCGCTGACTACAGACCTAAGGGTTTGTGGTTCGAGTCCCTGACATGTCGTTAGTTCTGAGTCATGAGGTGTGGTCACATCGAGAGGAAGGACCAGGACACTACTTGATAAGCAAAAGCTTTTCAGTGTTCTAAAAAGTACTTTCGGCAGCTAAGCAGCAAACAAAATAATACAATACTCGCATGTAATGTTTCATCCAGCCATTGCGGACGAAAATATCTTACACCGGACTCCAAATTCATTTTTGCTTAATTAAGCAATGGCCTTCACTGTACCGTGAATAAGAAAACGCATAGCCCTTGGAACAAAAGTGAGCACCGTGTACCCTCCCCATACAGTAAACTTCTGCAAATAAAAACTTGCTTTTTCAAGAGTCAGATTGTTTTTATTCTTATGTTAAGGTGTATATGATCATTTAAGGCTCAAAAGTTGTTTTTGGACACAAAAAATATTTAGGATTAAAGAGTGCGATGCTATCAGGGCTTATTAGCTTAAAATTCTCAACATGAAGATTACAACTAAAAGTGAAGAATGTCTTGAAAATTTTCTTTATAAGATGGTTATATCAATAATATTATATATATTTCTTTGCCAAAAAGAAAATCGGCTCCAGACGCCCACAAACGTTACCCCTTTTGCGTCAATTTACCGACACTGCCCCTCTGGTGAAAATTTGTGGAAATTTGTTTTGGTATCAGGGAATTAGATCTCTACCTGCAGATATGAGCTTTTAGCGCTCCTCGTAAATCTGTTTTAATCTTCAATAATCTTTTTGAGCTGCTGCGGAGCTCCGAATTTGAGAACCAGTGGGCCTTTTATAGCGTCTTTTTTCCAAACAGCTTGTTTCCAAAGTCAGATTATGTTTCGGATTAGAATAACAAATGAACCAACCAAATATGGCTGTGGTTCTATCATTTTTCTAATTTTGCTTTGGCGTATTAATAGTTGAATAACAAAGATATCGAAACCCCTTTTGATTCTTTAAAAGGTCTGATTCATTAGATCATATTGGACAGCTTTAATTTTTGGTAACAAAGTCTTTAGAACCTGATGCTGTTTCAGCTGGCCACGGTACCATTATTGTAAATGCAAAGTTGCTATCATGTATTTTAGACAGAATAGACAATACTCCTTTTTGTGGGACGCTCCCAATTGAAAACCCTTTTATAAATTACGTCAACCAATTTTCAAGACCGTAGATGTTGGCTTTTGTCCCAGTTTTACTTGATTTACTTTGGCTTTTATTTTCAGCGTAAAGTCAAACGCTCTTGAGCATCCCCATGACCTTTTATGTCTGGTTTCATTGTTTTCTTTTTGGAAAAATATAAAATAAACATTTTTCTCAGCTGTTCCACACGTTTTTGTGACGTCTGAGTGGCTGACCCTGCCTTGTACCCCTGCGTGAAGCTTTAATTTCACAAAGATATAGCCACTCTTATGAAACAAAAGCAAATTCAAGTAATTACAAAAAAATTCGTTTTCGAAAGCATGACTCACGATCGCCTTATTTTCTAACAAGTCCCTATAGTGCCTCCTCATCCCCAAGAGTTTTAGACAAAGAGATGAAATAACCCCTCAAAGGAGCATTTTTGCCAACTTCGCCCATGCTGTTAAGTTTTTATGAATCCCTAGCTAATGACGGTGGCTATTTAGCAATAATATATACAAACTAAAATTTAAATGTTTGCCAGCCATCACGCGAGCCTCGTCAGTATCCCGAACTTATAGCGGACACTGCCTTTTACTGCCAAGCCAATACAAGAATGTGAGTTGTCTCTTTTCATTTGCTTTAGTCTCGTATAGATCTTCGCAGTCTAGTAAGACAAAGAAATACAAGGTGAGAGTGCCACAATGGCGCGAATTTTTGTCAAATCATTTCTCTCGACCAGAGTTGTTTTTAAACGTCTTTCATTTCCATTGGTTAAAACACAAAGTAGGTTTTACATTGGCTACAAGAACAAGTTAGTTCTTTGTGAACAACGACCGATCCCCCTGCTTCGAAAAAACAAAAGTCTGGTTTAAGCAAATCCCAGAAATCAGACATCTGTCTGAGTTACCATATATAAATTGCTCGCTCTATACGGTAGTATGTGCATATGGGCGTGCTTTGATGCAAGGAATAAGAAAAGGGTCTACTTGGTCATCAGACCGAAAGGTATGAAGCATTATTTTGATTCTTATAAAGATCTCCTAGTCACTTAAGTTCCATTTCGTTGTGCGGAATTCTCTTTGCTGACTCTTTTAAACAAACCTGATTTGCATCAGTTTAGTATTTTGTCTTCTAAGAAGTTTTTGGACTTACCTGATAACAGCCTTCAGTTTCCTTATGATATTAGGGAGGAGTATCCCCATTTTTATTTTCTCTTGGCTGATATTCAGGATAAAACGGATCCTACTGCTATTTTAAGATATTTTTCCTTTTCATTTTTTCTACATTCGTTTTATCCTATTTTGAAAGTGCTAGCTGTTCAAAGTACGATTGACTTCCGAATTTGACACACCCTGTTAAAAGAATTTTCCCGTTATAACGCACTTCACGTTGCCTTATCCTTAGAACTTAAAAATTTTCTGGCGTAATTAACCCTTGGTTTAACAAACCCATGTTATGACGAACTAAGTTCCATTTAATTTACCATACCAAGGAGCTCACGAAACTTCAACGAGGGCCTGTGTTACTTTTAGCTAGGCTTAAATAAAACAAACTACCAAAATTGGGTGTTACCTGGGTCGGGTTACTATGGTTGAAGCATGCACAAATCTACAAGTCAAGCCAAAATATATAGATTATTGATTGTACAGTACGAAAGGAGAGAAATGTTCCCTTCATTTACTTTCGATAAAGCAGATTTAAAATGCTACATTACTGTAGATGTGGATCTAAAATGCTGTAGGTTTGACAGTTTTGAAAGCAACACCCGGTAATAGATCATTCGAGTTCTTGTGGTTTTTAACCAGGTTTTGGGTTGCTTATTTTTACAACAAATACTTTGCCATACAATACAATCAATGCTTCAATCAATACTCTGCCAGCAGTTTGCTGCATCTTGAGCCCTCTTCGCACGACGCATTTTTATCTGGGTTCGGTTCGGTTCTGGGTTGGAAAAAAATCCACTAATGTACAAACCAAACTTAGAGTGAGCTCAAGTTAAAACTACGGTGACCCAGAACTGCCACTCACTTAAATAAACTGATTCGCATACAAACGAAACAGATTCGCATTGAATCAAAAAGTCGCACAAAAAGAAAAAAGACTCGCAGAAAAATGAAACTCGTCACACATTTTTAGTTTCAGTCGCATAAAATACTGTATATCGCACATAAAACAGAATGAGTTGCACAATTAGAAAAGAGGTCGCACTTAAAGAAGAATGGGTCACACGTTGGAAAAGGGTAGGTTCTTTATTGAATTGAATGAATTTCTGCTCAGCGATGATGTTTTGTCCAAACTGCGGGAATTTCAGAGAAAGGCCCACTTTCTCATCATTGGAATAGAATAATATGCGCGTATTTTTGGACTATTGGGACTATTGCTCAATTCGATCACAGAAACACGCAGACAGGCTAGAAGTCCAAACTTAGCTAGTTACCCGAACTGCAGTGTACGACAGTTTCCTACGAGATCTCGGGTAGGCAATAGCAAAAATTCAAGTGTACAAATGTACACTATGACACGAGTTTATACTTCTAGTGTACACACAAATATTAAGTTTTACATACAAAAAACTTCGTGAGAAACTGATTCGGTTTTAGAGGGAATTATTTTTTTCATTTCATGAAACTGATAAGATTTATTTTCAAGAATTCAAATCAGTGCCTCCTAAGGTAAAAGAGTGCCTTTTGTCCAATTTCCCTAAAGGTTTTACGGAAAATCAGCAACTGCAATAACGGTTTTCATAAGGAAACACAAAAAGTAAACTACAAACGAGCTTCTTTCTTTGCGACTCGCTTTAATTTTGTGCGAATGGGATTTCTTTCTGTGCGACTCGCTTGAATTATGTGTGAGTAGTTTTCCTGTCAGCGTGAATCAGTCTGTTTCAATGCGAAGCTGATTTGTTTGTATGCGATTCAGTTTAATCAAGATAAAATAAGAGAAAGTTCCTTATTTTATCTTGGCTTAATTTAAGTGCCTGGTAGTTATGGGCCACCGTATAAAACGAACTTGCGTACACTCATTTTTTTTATAAGAAACAAAGGTTGATGTTTAGTACTCCAGTTTCTTAATGTTCTGAAAATTTCAATACTCACTGTTTCGTAAAACTTTCGTAATTATGATGTCATGAATGATGTTATGAAATGTTTGTGACCTTTTTTCACGTCAAGAGATTCGCTTGCGTTGTGACGCTGTATTTAGACGTGGGAAGTATATTTTTATCCCTTGTGTCTTAATTCCGAGGCCATCAGGGCAATCATGTTCTTGGATTTTGCAAACTTTCGTTGTTCTCAGTTTTATCACGATTTAATAGTTCCTTAATTCTTTTGCTTCGAGTACTGAAGTTTCTTAAAATTTTCTGACTGTCCAGTACTCGTTTCTTATAGCCAGTTTCATATAAAAAATGAGTGTATTCGCAAACCTGCATTGAAAATTGAAAACATCAGATTGGAGATTACACACAGACACAGGGCATGTTTATTATGAAAACATTCATACTTCCAGGTGCGCAAATACAGTGGGGGTCCTTGGGATTCTCAGACCTCTGCCCTTTTTCCCAAAAGGGAAAAATGCCCTTTTTCTTGAAAAATTGCGCAGAAACCTAAACAAAGGCATATGGCTTGTATTTTTCATACAGCTCATTTGCACTACGACAATGAACGGGATGGAGCCTCTTAGACCATTGTTAAAAAAGTTACAAGGAAGAAACCAAGACATCTTTCAGTCTTATATGACAGGGTCATAGTGGATCTTTGCATGATATGAGCGAATGTAGAGAAAGAATTCGCAGACTGGTATGAGCAAGCAGTGAAGATGGCACAAAAAGTTGTTGTTCAGCTCGAAAAATTATAACGTCCAAATACGGTGTATACTCTAACACATGCGAGCTTCTAATATCAGTCAAAAAATTATTAAAATGTAACGTCATTAAAAAATGTTATATAATAAGCATTTTCAGAACAAGGATTTAAGCATTTCACAAATTTTCATTAAAAAAAGCAAATCTCTTCCACGACACTAAATAAACATATCTACTATTTTATCGATATCTTTTTGTTAACGTGATTTGCATCATTTTCAGCAATTCACGCACTTTTTTGCTTACCTGCCTATTCTTGTGATTATTGAACAGTTTGTGTTCCATTTCTTGGAGGTCAGAAACTCATAATTTATCTGATAGAAGGAGCTTTATGACGATTTCTGTCGAATTCTTAGCATTCACGCTTGCATTCCCGGCCAATAGCATATCACGGCAATAGCGTAACACAGTTTAGGACGCATTGATTCAGCGTTTTCAGCCTTTTTTTCTACGGCACATTATTTGCGGATAAATTTTTTTCAATTTTTTAGACCAATTAAGTAAAATTGGAGAATTTCCCACAGCAAACTAGGCAATACCTCAAGGCATGCTAGTGTGTGGTAACACAGTGGTTGAAAATATTGCTTTAGTTTGATAACCAAGGGCTCCCAACAAAAGGGGGCCCCAAGGTGCTTTTACATCCATATCTTTAAAGCTTTGAAAGTTCTTCAACTTTTGAAAGTCTCTAAAACTCAGTTTCACCTAGCTAACGAGAAAATAATTCTCATTTTTATCCTTTTCTATTGTGTTTGACATGCTCACACCATTAAATGTGATATTTTTGCTGTCCGTGAATAGATGTCCCGCAGCAGTTTTTTGCTTAGGGCACTAGATGCCTCTGTTACGCCAAAGCACATCAAATTTGTTGAGTCTCGATCACTAAATCGAGCATAGATTTCTTCAAAAACTTTATCCATTGCATTGTAGAATCAATTGAACAGATTTTTGCTTTCTAGATGGGTTTTGGGGTCTTTATCCTGACTCCCACTGGCAAGCCCAGTGCGTTGCGCTTTGTCCTATTACCTATATGACAGTTCATGTCCAACTTTTCTCTTGAAATTTCATGCCTTTTGGCATTGGCCTCAATGAAATTGTAGAGACCTTGAGCAACACCAAGTTCATTTCTAATTGACTCACTTTCTGCAAGATTAAACTAATGTCTAAGGCAATGGACATAAATATTCAGCAGAAAACAGACCTCCATTCGCTTTGACAAGCCCTTGACAACAGGTTTCTACATACGCTCTTCAGCCCAATTTGTACAATTGCTGAAGATTGAGTTTTGTAAAATTTAGCAAAAACTTCCTTTCGGGCACCATTCAGTACAAAACTGACACAAACTGACATTTGTTGGTGCTGACGAAAGGCCGATGTTTCAACAATTATGAGAGCATAATAGCCGCTTTCTTTTACTTTTTCGACAATCTTTTCAAGCACTATTTGGGCTGTTGCTGTTCTTTTCGCTTTTTGCGCTTTTCCACCCAACAGATTTTTACCTTCTTTCTTCACTTCAAAATGTAGTTATTCTTATTCTTCTTGTTTTTGGAGAAGGCTGCTGCCCAAATTTTGCCCGAAATAATCAGCTGCCCGAATCTAGGGGGGGGGGCTGAAGTCCCCCCCAGCCGCCCCATCCCGTACGCCTATGTGTTCAGCCAAACAAGCCCAGAACCACAAAATGTTGAAGCAGATCCCACGATTACATCGAAAGTGAGTTTTAGCCCTCCCCCCAAAAATTTCTAAAATGTACTTAAAACAATACATAAAGTCGCCCTGTTCTTGAATCATGTTTAGCCCCCCAAACATTTCAGTCCTCTCAGTCCGTAAGAGGATCTGTGATCCTTGGTTTAACTTTTTACCATAGGTAAGGCTAAGCAAAGAATTCCGATGTTCTTAAAGGTTTAATTTTAAAAGTGGGATCCTAAGATGGAGAAAGCATTGGGAAATTGGGAAATGGAGATTACGGACAAGAATAAGAAGTCCGCTGAGACTGAAGAGAAAAGACGACACGAGGAGCAAAGGAAAGCAATGATAGTCATGTACTTGCATTTCTGATTGGCCTATTTCGATCATCAACTATATATATTTCCTAGCGTAGAGCTTTCGATCTATGTTCTGACGTTATAAAATTTGAAGAGTGTCAGACAAA